CAATTCAATGCAAAAGACCCATTAGTGTAGAAGTTTGGAGTGATTACTCTTTCAGATAAGGTATTGAGTTCGAGTCCTAGCATATGTATAGGGTGTGCGAGTTTAGTGTATTATCGCCCATTTCAATGGTAAAAATCTTAAACCAAAAAATGAGTTCAATATTAAGTCCCCTAAACAATAGAAAATAGAAAATAATATATTGCACCAAATAATCATGCCCAATAAGAACTTTATAAAAAGATATGTTTGGTTCTTATATAAACTAAATAAATAATAGTCTTTTCTTTTATTTTTTCTTTAAATAAAAGAACATATTTTAACCTTACCCTAAGCCAATTACATTACCTCAACTAATTAAGGATCGAACCTACCCTGAAGTGTGACTAAATTATATTGAGTTTCTTTATAAGTTTAAGGTCCAACTAGGAGATAAAGAAAAACCTAACCCTATCCTATAAAGCTATACCACTAAGAGCTAGCAAAGCATGCGATTTATTTTACAATATTAATACAAACGATGAAGAAAGTGATGATTGGCACATAATTGGCTGTCCAAAGAGAGCCACGTGTACTTTTTACACCCACTTGTTTAGAAAGAACCTTAAATTGGAGAAAAACTTTCTTGTAACATGGATAACACTGTTTTGCTATTTTCGACCAATAATGCAAAGAATACGTGGAAAAGTTACCCAGCATGTCATTGCGCCATTGGTCGGGATAGCAAAAAATGATATTTTCTTCGCATGCCTCAGACACCAGATATCGAATCATGAACGAAGAAAGCCATGAGAGAAAAACATTTTGGCTAGTGATTGTGAGGCCAAAATTCTTGACTGGTGGGGACACCAAAGGCCTTTACCCTTCCATCCCTTGGATAGATAGAGGGGAGGGCAGAGCTTTTGGTTTTTCATGTTGTCAAAGAGAGAGTTGAACAATGGAAGTCTCTCTCCTAGAATTGATGTAATTTTATGCAATATCATATATCACATGCCCCAAAAGTTCGAAACATATGTAAACAGCAATAATTTCCCAACGTCCTCTCTTCTCAATGCAGCATTGCAATGCAAGCAAACCTCGTCCTTGGCTCTCCTCCATCATCAGTGCCACTAAGCATGCCATCTTTTTGACTAAAAGCCAATCATTTGCCAACCAATTTCTAACTCAGGGAAAATCTTTTTCGACGAAAAAAAGGTGAAGATTTAGATGTTACAGCCCACAAATAAGTGTCGTGAGAATCGCTTTAGAGCGATTGTGAATAGCATTCCTCATTGCACCAAATAATCATGCCCAATAAGAACTTTATAAAAAGATATGTTTGGTTCTTATATAAACTAAATAAATAATAGTCTTTTCTTTTATTTTTTCTTTAAATAAAAGAACATATTTTAACCTTACCCTAAGCCAATTACATTACCTCAACTAATTAAGGATCGAACCTACCCTGAAGTGTGACTAAATTATATTGAGTTTCTTTATAAGTTTAAGGTCCAACTAGGAGATAAAGAAAAACCTAACCCTATCCTATAAAGCTATACCACTAAGAGCTAGCAAAGCATGCGATTTATTTTACAATATTAATACAAACGATGAAGAAAGTGATGATTGGCACATAATTGGCTGTCCAAAGAGAGCCACGTGTACTTTTTACACCCACTTGTTTAGAAAGAACCTTAAATTGGAGAAAAACTTTCTTGTAACATGGATAACACTGTTTTGCTATTTTCGACCAATAATGCAAAGAATACGTGGAAAAGTTACCCAGCATGTCATTGCGCCATTGGTCGGGATAGCAAAAAATGATATTTTCTTCGCATGCCTCAGACACCAGATATCGAATCATGAACGAAGAAAGCCATGAGAGAAAAACATTTTGGCTAGTGATTGTGAGGCCAAGAAGAAAGCCATGAGAGAAAAACATTTTGGCTAGTGATTGTGAGGCCAAAATTCTTGACTGGTGGGGACACCAAAGGCCTTTACCCTTCCATCCCTTGGATAGATAGAGGGGAGGGCAGAGCTTTTGGTTTTTCATGTTGTCAAAGAGAGAGTTGAACAATGGAAGTCTCTCTCCTAGAATTGATGTAATTTTATGCAATATCATATATCACATGCCCCAAAAGTTCGAAACATATGTAAACAGCAATAATTTCCCAACGTCCTCTCTTCTCAATGCAGCATTGCAATGCAAGCAAACCTCGTCCTTGGCTCTCCTCCATCATCAGTGCCACTAAGCATGCCATCTTTTTGACTAAAAGCCAATCATTTGCCAACCAATTTCTAACTCAGGGAAAATCTTTTTCGACGAAAAAAAGGTGAAGATTTAGATGTTACAGCCCACAAAGGAACACCAAACAATCAAAAGCAAGATACAAGAAACAAGAAAGAAAGAAAAGATGGGTGGAGGGATTCGTATGTAATAGAAACAAGATCTAGTCGAATATATGTAGATCATGATTGATTGATATCCTAACAGAGAATATGTAAATCATGATTGATTTATATCCTAACAGAGAATGATGAACTCGTCGACTTAACGGCTATAAGACAGAGCCCTAAGTTTCTAAGCCACCATGGTCCACCACCAGCCATATTGCCATGTGATGATAATTCAGTGGATCTTTGACTGATCTCCAGCTACGAGTTATTAGTGCTTCTTTTGAATAATTGATTACTTTTTAGGAGTAAAAAAACATTTTATATCGTTAAAGTTCGACTCAGATTTCATTCGAATTACTATTAATATTTTTATATTATATTTCACTTGAGTTGAGCTCCCTTTAATTTATTTTTTTCCTCGAATGGAAACAACGCCATTCTCTCATAGTCATAGACTCATAGCTAGAGCACATTTCGATGATCCCATTGCTATTTCTTGCCATCTTCACATTCAACTTTAAAATTGCTTTTCGCATAAATGAAAGATTAGTTGGATTGCATTTGCATCGATCCCTAAACTCGCATCACATCGAACTAGCATATTTTGTAAAGGATTGTGACTGTCGGTGAGATAAGATAAGAGACTATATCGCTTCATAATTCAGAATTACTTTCGTAAAAAAACATACACTTTTGTTCATAAACACTTTTATAATAAATACGTTGAAATATTTATTAAAAATTCACTTAGAAAAGCACTTGGAAGCATTTATCTGGAAAATGTTTCTAAAACCCATAAACATTTATGATTTTTTGCCAAATTTATTTAAAAAGCGGATTTGATTGTCAGAAAATCTCTGAACATGACTTAAACCCATAAACATTTATGATTTTTTGCCAAATTTATTTAAAAAGCGGATTTGATTGTCAGAAAATCTCTGAACATGACTTAAATAGAAGACTTGATTGAAACTTAAAAAAGAAAAATATTAAATGAAAGAATGCAAATTTTGAGCACCAAGAGTGTGATTACATAACTTTCTGTTCGTTTCTTCCCCTCTAGTCATCCTTTTCTCTTATTCTTTTTTAGGGCATGCTATACTTTTATTATTGTAAAGGATTTTTCTTCTTTTGTCATACTATCATGCCAAGGGTTAATAACTAGGAGGGTTCATGTACTTGCTTTTTTCACTCTATAATCCATAAAAATTTTACGCTCCAAGTTGATAAATGGATAGATTCTCATGGAATTCAAGGCTTTAATGATTCATCTGAACTGACTCCGAATGATTTTGTCCGAACGAATTTTATCCTTTGTCCTATTTTTCTTCCAATATATGATTTAGGGTTAATATTCTGAGCGAGAATTACAAGGAGAAGGACGAGAATCGAACTATTGTCTTGTGGCACAAATTCAACCTTAACACGTATTATATCATGTTGAAGTGTGTTAAACCTGAAGCTATTAAAAAGAGAAGCTTGGAATTCAGCCACTGCCAAGCACGTCTATCACAATCTTTAGCAACCAGCAGAGACCGACACAGAAACAAATACTTCTTTAGACTGCACCCCATGAGCCCCTACCACCAAAACGACACAGTTGTTGGTCTCATGCCACGACCAAACACAAGGTATTAGAATGTGTCCTAGTGTAATGTGAATGCCAACTTTTTCAACTCATGCAAAGACAATCCTATAATTTGGAAATGAGAGACAAAAGCTGCAACTTGATGTGTGGGTTTGGTGCATTGGCGGAACCTAATTTGGAAATGAATCTCAAAAAGCTTTCAAATGTGGTCAAAGACATTGTTTCGTGGGTGGAACAAGACTGGATTTAGCTCTCGTTCCGAGATCCAGTCCCATAGAGTCCCACCCTTGATGATGGGATTCGTTTTCTCTTTTATGTGAGAAATTGTCCAATTTAATAAGTCCAGTACCTCTATTATGAGTACCGAAACATGAGACATGACACTAGTCGAAAACGTGACCGGTGATATCTAACGTTGAACGTGACCTTTTGCAACTTGGAGAAGATGGCTTAACCAGATTCCCAATTGAGAGAGTGGTAATGTTTTATGGACCCCTACTAAAAGGTTGTGGCCTAAATTTAGGACATTTTGTTTAGTATAGAAGGCTGTGCATGTGGGAGGGGTGGGTTTCTTTTTCTCTGTCCCTATAACACAAGACTCATACTCAGAATGTGAAGAGGGACAGCATGTACCCTACAACCACAGGACACACCAAAAATGAGGGTTGGCTTCTTTTGGAAGAGAATCTTTATCCTACATGTTTTTCAACCAGTTAACAATGATATAGGCAACCAAAGAGTTCTGTTTGCATCACTATAAACTGCCATACAAACAAGACATTCTGGCCAGTGGGTCATTGTTGGGGCCTTCAGATCTTAGCAAACCCAACAAAACTAAGCATATTTTTTGAGCACCCATTGGACAAGAAAATATTCTATAATAGTTTTTCCCCCCAACCAACCAAAAAAAAAGTACTACTTATTCAAACCACCTCAAAGCTGGCAAGGATGACCAAATTTCCTACAAATGATTGATTACTTGGGTTGATCATGACACAAAACACAATCCATTTCTTGTTTGCAAGTATACAAGGTAGAGTGGTTGTAATCCATGACTTCTGATATTATTAAGCAAAGAAATACAGATCTAAGTTTGATCGAGATCTATACTGAGAACAATAAATAAAACCAAAATAGAAAAAAGTAACTAAAGAAAAAACATTCTCAGTGGTGCACATGATAGAGCAAGATTGTAGCCACTGATGCAAGGTGCCAAGGCATCTTCTTCAGTCAAGCTTTCGTCTGACCAATCCTTTGAAGAAGTCAAAACTATAGAGAAATAGAAACAGTGTCATGATTACTTAGGTTAAGAATAGCAGGCTCATGTCCTGACAAACTTCTGAAAATATAACATGTCGGTGTAAAACCACTGCATCAAATTGCCAAAAGTTGTAATGACTTATCTTACAAAGGGAATGCAGGGGATGCTTCAGACTGAAGCTATACATAGTTGATCGGGAAAAGGGGCGAAATATATAACGGGATGTTCTTAGTGATCCTCTTGCATATTTACTTAGTATTACTTAGATACTTATTTATGTATTCTTTTTAACATGTATCAAGTTGAGGAAGAGACAGAAATACAGGCATGTAATGTTTGACAAGAAAGACATGTCAAGATCACCTACCAGTTCTGCCAGAAAGTTATACTCAGGAATGCATAGATACTGATTTATTGCAGAAATAGAAGGCAATGATTAAGAGGCCAGTAAATGAGAAATAAAACCAGGCGTCACTTTTGAGATGGTAAATGCATGCACGAGTTTTTCACAATGACTGTATTTGGAGAGAAAAGGAGTACAAGAGACATGACCAGAACCCTTATTTCAACTCTGGATGGTAAAACCAAATTTCAAAAAGAACAATGATGCCAAGTTGCTGTCCTTTTGACCAAGCAACCTGACACGCGTATTAAAGCAGGGGTGCAATTTTAAATTAACAGATAGAAAAAGGTGATGTTGCAATTTCCATATCCTCACCAATTGATGTCTCAAGTGATCTGCCCAGAATTTAGTTAAGGACATGTCTTCAAACAAAAAGATTACATGATACGGGTCTAGGACAAAATCAGGACATAAATTTAACTAATAGTCAAATAAATCCAGTAATATGTGAGCAAAACAATGGAGCTACCTTCAGGTATAATACCAAGAATTATGTACTAGTTCCAATAACTATATTCACTTATTACCAACTTAAAAATACTTCCTTTCATATCTAACTTTCAAGAGTTGCGAAAACCACATCAAACCCAAAAAGTTGTGCTTATGATGTCCCAGTAAGGCGTATGAAAAAGTTTGAACCTTATTACCAGGTATCTATCCCATATGACATAAAACATTTAAAGCAGTCTTGACCAAACAGTGTTCGTTTTGGTTGAACATGAAAATCTTGGTGGCTCTAAATTGTGCTATCACATTGGCCCAAAACAAGAAAAAAATAATTTGTACTAGCATCTTAAATGAATGGAAATTACAGTTTATGTAAACCATATGGCTTGCTTACCAAATGTTCTTCTGGTAGTTTTCACTTTTCCTACTTACAAGTGGAACTATTAAAAACATCCATGGGACTATATTAAAAAAAAAAAAGACTTGTACAGGTACTGCTTATGTAAGTTTCATAGTTAATTAAACATCATTATATCATACAAAAATAATAATATCAATTTAGCAAAGTTACCTATTGCCATCAGGATGAAGTTCACACATCTGGTTGTCATCACCAATAGCTAACAGATATCCTGATGAGGTCAAACCCTGCAAATTAAACATTTAGATGTTGAAAACCTAGTACCAATATATAGTATTGACAATACAGTCATACCTCAAACTGTCTGAGAATTTCTTCATGAAAACTACGAGAAGTGAGAATTTCATGATAAAATTTAGGAGGAAGTACATATAGACCCCATATGGTCGACCCTATTTATATGGGTATAACCTGTGGTTTACTTGTGACATTTACACTCTGTAGTTTACTAATTTGTCTATTTAATGGATGTTGCTAATAAGCATGCAAATGACTATTTTATCCTTGTCTTCTTCCTCTATTCAATGGCTACATGGGGTAAATCACAAATGATATAGGTGGTAACATAGGAAACCATAAGGGTTATATGAGTGGACAATAAATTACAGGGTTATCCATGTAAAAAGAGTCAACCATAAAAGGTGTAGTTGTAGTTTCCCCCTAGTTTATGAATTTTAGGCTTAGATCTTTTTATCTCATTCAAATAAAGGATTCTCACACATTTTTACTGAACACGTTCTTTAACTTCTGTATATCAAGGGAAAGAGGGACATATCTTTTATGAACACAAGACCCAAAATTTTATCCATAAAGTTAACCCTTAAATTTCTGTCTGAACCAGAAAGGATAAAATAAAAGATTTTCTTTGGGTTTATATCATAATTCATAAGAAAGGGTATGAACTCTTTCATGTACGTAGGCATGAATATTCAAACTCTGAGTCAGTAACTCTTCTAGCAACTTTCTAGTTTGTCAAACCTGAATAGTGACCACGTTTTCCACTACTTGATCCTCATTCTTTTCTTGCACAATAACCCTCTGTCCGCTGCAGATATCAAAACAAAACTAACTTCAAGAATGACAAGAATGGTTTCCATACTTTATGAGAAGAAAATCAAGAGGCCATCATAAAAGGTTGGAAGACGACTTCTATAGGTTGAGTAAAAAATGTTATTGGGTACCAAGTGAGACAAAATTTACGGAATATTTGGTGTTACATTTCACTAGGCTTCTTTGGTTTTTGAAGCTAGATAAGACTACGCTTAAAAATGACTAACTTGAATTCAACCATAAAGATCCATAGTAGAATCCAGATCTACATGACAGTGTGTTACCTGTGTAGCCATGTCTTATAGTATAGCTCCTCAAGAGATTGGAATCCTGCATTAAATGAACCATGCATTACTTTTCATAACACGTGCCCTTAATGGATTCACTATCGTGCTTGCTGGTCAGAGTAGAATCTTATTACTGAAACAGAAACTCTGGAAAAAAGGTCAATTAGAATTTGTATTTTTTTGGAGAAAGAAATGAGTACATTTACCCTTTCTTTTTCCATATATCTATGCAGGAAACAAATAAAGTTGTTAAAAAGGAGGGGAAAATATAACTGCGATGGTATTGTCAAGGATTCAAATTTTGAAATCAAAAGAAATTTCATATAACAAGTTCAAAGATTGTTCATTTATAGGGATTCTAGCTGGAAAAGTTATTCAGATATTTTTTCATGACAGGCATAAAACTTAAAAGAAAAAATAGAAAGCAAGGCACCAATATATATAGTTGAGGCAAAACAGTAAGATTAAGCATTAAAATCAAAATGAAGGAATGGCATAATTGATATATCATATGACATATTTGATGGTTAATTGATATGCGATGATTTTTTACCTTGATTTATAAAAAGCTCATAAAATTTCTCAAATTTGTCAAAGAAGGCAGCAAGAATATCTTCTCTTCTAAATTGGTATGTCGTAACAGACAATTCTCTAAGAAATGTATTCAAGCATGTAGTTGGTTTCTCATTATCAACATTCAAACCTATACCTGCAAGAACAGAAGCAAAAATATCTGTGTCATCATTATCAACATAGAGTTTCTTCTTGACTATCCAAATTATGTGTGTGCGTATTGTTGATGGAGGCATTCATCTAATACTTGAACGGAACAAGGTCTATAGAAAAGTAACAAAGCAGCCAGTAGGTATGTGAAACCATACTTATTTCCAATCAGATATGCTAATCAGCAACCAGAGGATGAGACTAATTACCAGCAGAGACATTGAACTGCTTCGATTTAAATGTCGAGGTGCATAAAATACCTCCCACTTTGAGGCCATTTAAATAAAGATCATTTGGCCATTTTATTTTAACATCAACATATGGCAAGCCCTGAAATTCAAAAGATGTATTAACACAAGTGTATCAAAGTCTGGAGACTATAGCATCACCTATTAACTGAAATATGAATTTGACAAGGTTCTTTCTATATCAAACTCAGCAAGAAAAATGCACTCACATTTTTATCACAAACATCCTTTATTGCCTCCGTGACAGCAAGAGACACCACGTATTGTATAAGAGGCACGACTCGGCCATCCTCCATCTGCAAAGTAAAGGAAAAAAGAAGGCAACCCTTGGGAGATTCCCACGCATTCTTCGACCGGCCTGGAAAAGATCACAGAATAAATTGAATCCCAATAACACAATAAACCAGCAAAATCAATGTCAACCACTAATTGGCATTTCAAACCTCGCCCTTTGTACTGAACATCAGCCACACATACCGCACCGATCGGAAGCTCACAGAAATTCCTGAGAAAAAGCTAAATATCCATTCACTTCGTTTCAGAAAGGCAAACAAAGCTAAGGGCTTTTATGAGACTTACTGGGAGACGACGTCGTGCGTTGAAGGCAAGCGTGGAGACCAAAGGAGGAACCTTCCGAACCGATTGGTTGAGAGAGAGTTCATGAACGAATCCACCCCAAAAGCGTCTTCCTTGATCGGTTTTTCCGATTCAGAGTGCAGAAGAATTGAAAGCTCAGTGTTGTCAGTGAGCTTCAGAGCGCCACTGTTCTTCAGCGTTTTGGCAGTTTCATTCTCTGCCGATGATTTTCCGCATAACACCAACGCGCAACTTGAATTGCCATCCATAGCTGAAATTCGCAAACAGATTGATAAATTCAGAAACGAACTGATTTTACTGGATTTTCTCAGTAACCAAACAGTAGGGACCAAACTAACCTGAAGCAGCAACCCGTAGAGAGAGGCTGCTATTCGTTTTCTTTGTTGATAAAATGACCTTCTTCAGTGCGGAGAAAAACCCTAGTGACCTAGTGAAGGCGTAGGACATTCAACTTGAAAAGACCAGAACTTTCAGCGAGAATTGAAAGGTTTCAGCTTCGGAGACGGAAAAGAACGACAAGTCAAGAACACAAGGCTTCGTAGCACGCCACGTCCTCTCATGTAGGGCCCGCCACCTTAACCCCACAAAACCCCAAAATTAGAACCAAAAAAAATAAATAACTCATTTGCTATATCATCAAAACTTCGCCACCATTGACGTCGTCGTTTGGTGAAGAGCGAGCAAACACAGACAGAACGCCAATCATGGAAGAGTTGCAGAGAGCTCTTGAGGACCGAGGCTTAACCGTTTCGAATGTTCCAGAGAAAGGCCGTTGCCTCTTTACCACCAGAGACTTCTCTCCAGGTGTCCTCTTCCCCTCCCTCTCTCTCTGTCTCTCTCTCTCTCTCTGTAGCTGAGTAGCTCTGCTGCTTCAGAACAGCGATAATGGAGGTTTTGAATTGCAGGGGAGGTGATTATAAGCCAAGAGCCGTACGTTTCTGTGCCAAACAACTCCTCAGCGGAATCCAGGTGCGATGCTTGTTTCGAATCAAGTAATCTCAAGAAGTGCTCGGCTTGTCAGGTTGTGTACTACTGCAGTAACTCATGCCAGGTATGCCCTAGGCTTCGGATTGGTAATTAGATTACATTCATGGAGTTCTTGTATTTCTCATTCGTTGAAGTCCTGGGTTTTTGTATTATGCAGAAGTCTGAATGGAAGCTGCATCGTCTAGAATGTGAAGCTCTCTCGAAGCTTCACAAGGAAAGAAGAATGGCTGTCACGCCTTCTATTCGTCTCATGATCAAACTCTACCTTCGCACAAAATTGCAAACTGAGAAGGTAAAGATTTTCTTATTTACACAGAAAGATTCAATTTTTAATTTTGGGTATAAAACATTAATGTTATTAGATTTTTCCTTTAGGTCATTCCTGCTTCTGCTATGGACAACTACAAGTTGGTGGAGGCGTTAGTTGCTCGTATCCTTTTTGGCTTTTTCCAATTTAGCTTTCCTTCTTGTTGTAGCTGTTTACTGTTTTATTAATTCTTTTTTGTTTCTTTTAATAAAGATATGTCGGAGATTGATGAGAAGCAATTGGTGCTGTATGCTCAGATGGCGAACCTTGTCAGCTTGATACTTCAGTGGCCCGGTATCAATATAAAAGAGATTGCAGAAAACTTTTCCAAGGTGTGATTTTATAAACAGTTTTTCGGTTCTGTTTTTCTCAATTATTACTGTTTTATTAATAAAAGTGACTGAATTTGCACCATGTAATGCAAGTGAAGCTTCACTATCATGTAAGTGTTGTGGTAATTCTGGTGAACCCAATAGCAAATGTTAGGCAGTAAAACCGTTGTGTTGGAGGTACTTCAGGCATTTATGCATAGCACAATGAGATGTTCAAGTTATATTGTCAGTTTGGCATGTACCCAACACAATCAATGCGATCATCTGGTGTCTAACTAAGTTCTTACAAACTTGTAATGATATGTTACAGTGCTATTGTCTGCATGACTTCTTTCGATCCTTTATTGTATGGACTCAAACGTTGTTTATCTTAATAAGAATGCAATTTAAATTTTTTTAGTGGAATCTTTGGGAATTTTGATTCTCTGCGATCCATGCAGCTTGCATGCAATGCTCACACAATTTGTGACAGTGAATTGAGACCCCTGGGCACAGGATTGTATCCTGTCATTTCCATTATTAACCACAGGTAACTATGTTAGTGGATAAAAGTATTTTCAGTGTCACCCTCTTGCTATTTGTTTGCTAAATGGTTCTGGTTCTGTAGCTGCTTGCCCAATTCTGTTTTGTTATTTGAGGGAAGATCAGCAGTCGTACGTGCTGTGCAACATATACCCAAAGGTGCTGAGGTAGTATATGCTTCTTTAACTTGCTGGCCATTATGATTTCCAATTAAGAATAAGAGATTACATCAAGGGTTTATGCGTTGAATATGCAGAAATGTATGATCATAGGGGAGATAATTAATAAGTTTAAATTGCTTGACAAATAGACTCTAAAGGAATGAGCTGCATGTCCCTTGGTCATTCTATAAAGTGCTTCATTAATAATCGAGAAGATTTATTCTGCAATGACGTTTTTTATAATCTCTTAATGCATTCACAGAACTCAACCCTATCTTGTGAATTATTTAGGAAAATATTTTAAATTTATGATCCTTTTTCTCTTGTGAATAATTTTAGTGTCTCATATGCTGTCAAGACGTTATCTGACTTTCTTTAATGTGAAGTAAAGTTACTTAGTATCATGTTATTGCACGAATTTTGACAAGAAGTCAAATCTAAAGGCTTCTCTGTTTGTCAATTTCATTTTCAAGGTGTTGATAAGTTACATAGAAACTGCTGGAAGCACTCTGACTCGGCAAAAGGCACTAAAAGAACAATACCTTTTTACTTGCACATGTCCCCGCTGCAGTAAAGTGGTACTTATGACTTTTACTTTTTCTTTTTTATTTCTTTTAAAGAATGTGACGTTGTGAGTCATGTAGCATTTGTCTTTTGATACTGGAATATGTAGAAACTTATCCTATTTAAACTAAAAATGAAGTTGATTTTGTATTGAAGGGCAAGTATGATGATATCCAAGAAAGTGCAGTTCTGGAAGGCTACCGATGCAAGGATAATGGATGCATTGGCTTTTTACTTCGTGAGTCTGGTATGTAATTACCTGTATTCAAGCCAGTGCGGTGAAACAAAATAGAAAATAAGAGTGAGTTAGGCAGCTAAAGCAACTATATTTCATTGTTTGCAATTTGGATGAGCAGATGGCAATGGATTCATATGCCAGCAATGTGGACTTGTTAGGAGCAAAAAAGAGATAAAACAGATAGCAAGCGAACTAAAATCATTGTCAGACAAGGCTCCTATATCTACACCCTCTCACAGTATCCTTCTTTCTTTGTGCTAAGAATTACTCGTCTTTTTGGGCAATCTTATGTTATGATTACTTATAATATTTTTGTGGTTTTTTTGTATTCAAATTTCATCACCATGATTTGATCTTTGACTAAGTTTAGATTACCAGGAAGCTATATCTGTGTATAAGGCAATTGAGACACTGCAGAAGAAACTATATCATCCTTTTTCAATCTCTTTGATGCAAACTCGGGAGAAGCTTTTAAAGGTAACTATTTGTTTTTTTATTTATTGTTCTTTTCCTATTATACTAATGAAAGTAGTGATGAAGTCGAACTCATTTGTAATATATGTCACACACACATACATATGTATGTATCAAATGGTTCTGGAAAAAGTTTGTTAAAGTTTCTGTTTTATTTTATATTTTATGCAAAAACAGATCTTGTTTGGCTCCTTTAGGTACAAATGAAATGGTTTTACTTAATTGAAATTGTAACAATTAGGATAAGTGAATTACTAAACTTAGGAAGGTACGATTTGGGGTTTGTCCTCTATGAATTGAAGTATGATAAGTTTGGTATTGTTTTACTTTCTAGTGAAATGCAAATCATGTTCTGTTTGCGGAGCATTGGAAATGGTTTCTTATTGTCTATGTATAATTTTTTGGCAATTGTCATTAGCCTTATTAACACTAAAAGTACTTTTAGATCAATGATTTTGGGCACTCAGTAAAGTAGTAGTAAATTGTGGTTATTCTAATTTCATGAGAACGTCAAACACTGTAAGGTAACATGCAGTGACTTTAATTCCTAATGTTCACTTAAATTATGCATTTAATTTCTTGAAATCATATTGTGTTCAGATTTTGATGGAGCTGGAAGACTGGAGTGAAGCTCTAGCATATTGCAGACCGACCATTCCAGTGTATCAAAGTATGTCTTGTTTCTTCTTTTTCATTTCTGTTTTTATATTCATAAGAATGTATTGTTTCTTTTTTATTCCACATTTGAGATATTTAATTCCTCTACTTTTTTTCCCTAACTTTTAACTGTTCAAGTTGGTGTCTTCCAGTTAGAAGTTATTTTTCATTTTAGTTCAAAGATCAGATTACTTTTGTTCTCGTTGCTTAATCAATGGGTCTCTAAGTACAACCGAATAAACTGAGTTTTGGTAAAAGAAATGGAAACTAAGGTGTTAGGATATTGTGGATTGAGTCAATTGAGGCCAGTGCGTGCTCCACATGTGAGATTAAATCTCCATCTTACAAGGCGCTTCCATTCAAGTTTAAACTTCTACTTTGGCATGCACACTGCATTTACCTCGTAACCAATTATAAGAAACTATATTGAAAATTATCGATGCACATCTGTTTACTATACTGCCGCTAACATCCCGAATTTCACTCTGTTTCACTACAGGAGTATATCCAGGTTGTCATCCTTTGCTTGGATTGCAATATTATACCTGTGGAAAGCTCGAATGGTTAGTATTTTTTGTCAAATCGTCATAGGAGTTTTCTGTTGAATCTTTAAACAAGTTGATTTGTTGTTACAGGTTACTAGGAGACACAGAGAATGCTGTCAAATCTCTGACCAAGGCGGCAGATATACTGCGGATTACTCATGGGACAAGCACACCTTTTATGAAGGACCTGTTCGTGAGGTTGCAGGAAGCACGCGCTGAAGCTTCTTATAAATTTTCGTCAGAAAAGTCTGATTCTTGTTAACAAGCTTACTTGTTTTGGGATTTTGTGTTGTGCATTTCTGCTATTACTTCGCATATCCAATCTATCAATCTTTATTTATGCATTATTATCAAAGGGGATACCAAATTTATTGAACATGGAACCAAACTTCCATTCACTTCTTGCATTTCTTAACCTAACAGCTAAACATCCATTGAAATATGAAAAATATTACACGTGTGATAATATCATTGGTGGTAAGGATGAGTAATTGCCATATTCTGACAGTACCAACATTTCATTCTTTATGTCTGGCCTTACTGTTAACCTCATTCTTCTATGACAAAGCAAGTAATTGCCATATTTTGTTGCCACACCTGTTGGTTTTTAAAAGCTTGGCACGAGACACCAAATTTCAGTAATTTAAGTTAAATATATTTTCTGCATAAAAAAAAATTACATATATTTTCCATGCATTATGCTTAATAAAGGACAAGGAAAGGATAAAGAACATACACGCCAA